TCAGCCATTAGAGGCAGTGTCCTCTCAAGGGGGACAATATCCTTGAGTTTGGCAGCTCCTTTTCGTCAGAGCAATGCTTTGAGAGGAACTCAGCTGTGAGCCATCAGCAATCAATACTTCCAGAGTGGGAAAATGAGGGTCTCAGATCTGAAGGGAACATCTGGTTGACACAGGCACTAAAATGAGCAAACATGAACATTATTTTCTTGTCTTGCTGATAATTCCATCTTCTAAAGGATAGGTTTTAGATGTTAATTCTGCCTGTCTTAGTCCATTCAGGCAGCTATACCCAAATACCTTAGGCTGGGTAATTCATAAAAAATAGAAATGTATTGCTCACAGTTCTGGAGACTGGGAAGTCCAAAATCAAGTCACCTAGTAAGGGCCTATTCCTCATATGGCACCTTCTTGCTATGACCTCACATGGTGGAAGGGGCAAGGGCACTCCCTTCAACCTCTTTTATGAGGGCAGTAATCTCATTCATGAGGGTGGAGCCCTCATGATTTAATCACTTCCTCAAAATCCCCCATTTCTTAATACCATCACATTGAGTATTAGGTTCCAACATACGAATTTTGAAGGGACAACAACATTCAGACCATAGCTTTGTCCAACAAGGAGTACTTGGTAGGTGAAATAAAGAGCCTTAAGAGAAGGTAGCGATTACTTATTTTAATATGCCACCCAAGGCTAAGCCAGCTGGGTGATATTCTTTGGATACAGCGATTCTTTCAGAAGAGCTCAGGAATTTTTTTTTGGTGATTAGTAGAAGAGACGCTTGCTAGACACTAGAAGGAAAGTATACAGTCCCAGCTGCTGGTTGCATCATCAGGACAAAGCCAGCATACAGAGGATGGAAAAACTGAGAGAACTGTGAAGAAATGAGATGCTGGAGCTCGCCTGCATCAGGCGAGGGGTGACTGCGCACATCTCTTCCCAATTCTATCTTCAGTGACTTTGCTTTGGTAGCTTGAAATAGGTCATGGTGGGAGTATTTACACCATGGAAATAGACAAACTCATGGCTCTTTTTTTCTCTGGAAAGTCAGTTAGTTGTGACATACTTCCTAGCACACTACCGACGAAGCCCTAATCAAACAATGCCTGAAGCCTGTCTACTTCTGGACTTTTCAGGTACGTGAGTCAATAAATTCTCCTTATTGTCCAAATTGAATTTTAATTGCTGCATATTATAATTTATGTTTGCATATCTGTTTTCTCCAATAAGTTATAAGCTTCCTGAAAGTCAGAGAACATATTTATCTTTGAATTTCTGGTGTCAGTAAACATAGCCAGTACCCAACATATATTGAATAAATGAAGCATAAGGGTCTTTGAACTGAAAAGAGCAAACATTAATAAGATGGAAATGGATAGTCAAGATGGGTGAAAGTATAGATGTTTAAACCAGTCCAATTCTTCCGGCATGAATGAGAAAAAAGAAGCAGCTCTCTCTCTCTCTCTCTCTCTCTCTCATACACACACACACACACACACACACACACACACACACACACCCTATCTCTTTCTGAAGACACAGTGCACAGTGAATGTGGACTTCAGTGTCAAACAGCCTTGACTTCCATTCTTGGCACGGCTACTTATTGGCTATAGTCCTATACAAGTTCCCTAACATCCTGAAGCCTCAGTTTCCTAATCTGTAAAGTAGGCAAAATGATGCCTTCCTCAGACTGAAAGAGAAAGATGAGTAGAAAGCATTTAACCCAGGACCTGATACACAAAGCAGAGGCCGCAGCCAGTTTTTGCTGTTGTTCTTGTAGCAGATGTTGCTTTATCATTACAATTACTGTTGTTGCAGCTCCCTTCCTTTCATTGCCTTTGTTCTGGTTCATAAATTTATTTTATCTAACCTCTCACTGAAATCTAGCTTTTTGCTTCTATTAAGAATATAGGGAAGAAACTGCAGTGGTATTAGCAGTGCCTATGACTCTTGCCACAGAAATTACAGATTTTTTCATATCACCTGGTAGTTGTTGTAGACAATGGAAACACAGTTTCTCCCATCACTCTTTGAAATGATGGGGTTGTTATTTGACCCTTCACCAGATCCTATTATTTAAAGCACTGATAAAGGAGTAAAAATATTACTATATTTGTAATAGTTAAAATATTTGATATTGTAACTGATTTCCTTTGTAGCTTTATGTATTTCATTTTATGCCTAATAACATTATTCTGAGAAGGGAATCTGTGGCTTTACCAGCCTACCAAAGGGAGCCTGGCACATAAAAGATTAAGAGCCCCTGCCCTGGGACCATGTTGCTTCACGCTGGCTGGTCAGCTCAGTTAGTTTAAGAGCAAGGAAGGTCATAGGAGCCCACTTGTAGGGTCAGTTCACTTTATATAACTTTATTCTGTTCCTCAGCCACAGAGGCTGGCCAGTGTGTGTCCAAGACCTGGAAGAGGCTGTGTAAGACCAACCTCTATAAGCCCATCTGTTTGGCAGGAAACAGTATGCCCCGTGGATGGTGGATTAGTCTTGGTGCTGCATTATGGGAGGGGCGGGGTCATTTGGACATAGAACTTGAGGGCTTCAAAACACAATAAATGTAGATATTAGTCACTTGTAACTGGTGGAGAAGCCTGTAATCTCTCAGTAGTTCCTCATTCTGACAGCCTCTCTCTCTCAGTCTGGGCCTCTTGGTCTATGTGTAGTAAGGCTCCCACTTCCTGTTCCTTTCTCTCTCTATCTTCACCCATCTTGCTCACTCTCTCTCTCCCTTCGCATTCTCTCTAATTTATTCCCCCCCTTTTCTCTGAGGAGGAAGCAGTAGAAAATCCGGAATGTAGTCATTGGGTATCTGGTGGACATTCTTCTCTGTGCTTGGCCTTGAGTTCTTGGCAGGGATACTTGCTGTCCCTGGGTCTGCTCTCACTTTCCTTTCTGTCATCACACACACACACACACACACACACACACACACACACACAGTATCCCTCTCTCTCTCTCCATCTCTTTCTCTCCCTGACACACACTCACACTTCAGAACGATTATATTTATAATACCCTGGGCAGTTCCAAATGTCAGTATGAATTTTAAGAGCACATTTGTGTCTCTTGCTTGGAACAGACTGAATTTTCCACTGTCTGAGAGTTTGAAGTTCTTCCAACTAAGAGAGCAGTGAGAGCCTCTGGGGGACTAGCCATGTGTCAGAGCTCTGTCAACTTTCTGCTCCAAGGGTCGCACTCACTCAACATTTGTTGAAGGACCTATGGCCACATTTGGCCCAAGCCAGTCATGTTGTGCTTTTCAAGTAAAACCCGGTAAGGGGAAGGGCATCTGGAGTGGAGATACCTAGTGTCAAGTAAGAATGGGTCCTATAGGCCTGACATGTAAAAGCCATCAGAAATTGACCTGTTTTCTGGGCCTAGAGGAGAAGAAACCAGTAGATCTGGGATATACCCAAAGGAATAGAAATCATTCTACCATAAAGACACATGCATGCAAATGTTTGTTGCAGCACTATTCACAACCAGTAAAGACATGGAACCAACCTAAATGCCCATCAATGACTGATTGGATAAAGAAAATGTGGTACATATACACCATGGAATACTATGCAGCCATAAAAAAGAATGAGATCATGTCTTTGGCAGGAACATGGACGGAGCTGCTGGCCGTTATCCTTAGAAAACTAATGCAGGAACAGAAAACCAAATACCACCTGTTCTCACTTCTAAGTGGGAGCTAAATGGTGAGAACACGTGGACACAAAGAGGAGAACAACAGATACTGGGGCCTGTTGGAGGCTGGAGGGTGGGAGGAGGGAGAGGATCAGAAAAAAAAAAACTATTGGGTACTAGGCTTAGTACCTGAGTGATGAAATATGTGTAAACAAACCCCCATTTACTATATAACAAATCTGCCCACATACCCCTCAACCTAAAATAAAAGTAAAAAAGAAAGAAAAAAATGGCCGGGCACGGTGGCTCATGCCTGTAATCCTAGCACTTTGGGAGGCCAAGGCCGGTGGATTACCTGAGGTTGCGAGTTCAAGACCAGCCTGACCAATATGGAGAAACCCCATCTCTACTAAAAATACAAAATTAGTTGGGCATGGTGGCGCATACCTGTAATCCCAGGAACTTGGGAGGCTGAGGCAGGAGAATCGCTTGAATCCGGGAGGCGGAGGTTGCAGTGAGCCAAGATCACGCCACTGCACTCCAGCCTGGGCAATGAGAACAAGACTCTATCTCAAAAAAAAAAAAAGAAAAGAAAAGAAAACCAGTAGATCCCTGAAAGGATAAATTATAACTCTCATTCAACGTCTAGGAATTAATCTGAATTCACTTTCAATTGGGAGTGGCAGCTGAAAGCTGACTTTAGGCAGACTTTAGGGACAGAAAGACTTGGACAGTTTCTCTCCTCTTCCTTATATTTAGCTGTTGCATGAAATACCCTTAAAAGAATTCAGTAACAGCCATTCCACAATTAGAAGTATGGCTTGAAATTCTTATTCCTGTGAGAGTTGACACACTGGCTTTAATTCATACTAAAGTGCAAATGACTAACCTAAGATTATTTCTTGCAAACAGTTTTATTAAATATGAAGAAGAGAGGACAGAGAAAGAGAGGCTTATATTTGAGAGGAAATTGGGTAGAGGGACAAAGAAATGAGATGCTGGAGATTTTATAACTTTATAGTAGTGTCAGAGTTGGCCCCAGTTAGCTTTCTGGAGTTAATTGCTCAGTTTAATTATGGATTTCTCCCCACACATTTCCAGCACTCAGTTTTGATTAGATCTTATATTGCTTGGTTTCCTTAGCCTCTCGTCAAAGAACCTCTTTAGTGGGTAAAATGGGGGAATGTGGCAGGAGAGAAGGGGGTGCCCTACAGTGGATCAGAACCGTTTCTTAGAGGATGTTTCATCACCTTCTGTGTAATTTCCAACCAAAGTTAAAATGTTCTTCCCTTCTAATTCACAGTAAACTAATCTTGGGAGAATTCTTTCTGGCTGAGTGCTTCCCAAGCCACCATTCTTTAAGTGGAATTTATTTGAATAATTTAACATTGATTTCTAGTCTGGGTACTGTTTAGTTCCTTTTTGGGTCACTGAGCAAAAGGACTTAATATGTTCCATGTTCCATATAAAAATATCACCCGATTTTAGCTGTTCAGTGAGCTCCTAGGACAAAGGAGGGTTACTGGCAATGGAAAAGTATCACTTCCAACACAGGATATGCTGTGAGCATTGGTGGTATGTAACATATTCAGTAGTGTTTTCATGAACCTGTCAGCATAGTCTGCGTAAACTTTGCAATGACACTCACCTTCTGCTCAGCTCAACTTTATGGCTTCCTGAGCAAGGAGGTAAAGAACATGGAAGAGAAGTGGACGCGTCACAGAGGCACCTTCTGCCTTGTGGGACTCCCCCTTCTGGTGTCTGGAAGGGATGATGGTGGTTGAATTCAAGGTCACTGCCCCTACGCAGAGAGAAGGAAGGGAAGTGTTTTCTTCAGGTTCTTCTCCTTTTGAGAGGAGAGTGAGGCTTCTCCTGCTCCAGATTCTATAGGGAATAACATAGAGAAATTATGCTTTATCACTGGCAAAAAATTCATCGTTTGTAACTTGGGAATAATACATTGTATACAGAGTTTAGAATCAATGCGATAAGCTATTAAAAGTACTTAACTCGATAGCTGGCACTAGTAGTCACTCAATTACTGTTTGTTTCTTTCTAGCTGTCACCAGTTACAGTTTTGCATTTTTACCTTTAGGTCTTTGATCCATTTTGAGGTAATTTTTGTGAAAGAGATGTAAGGTCTTGGTTTAGATTCTAGTTTATTTTTTTCCTGCATGCAGATGTCCAGTTGTTTCAGCACCATTTATTGAAAAGACTGTCCTTTCTCCACTGTATTGCCTTTGCTCCTTTGTCAAAACTCAGTTGACTATATTTGGGTGGGTGTTTTTCTGGGCTCTCTATTCTGTTCATTTGGTCCATTTGTCTATTCTTTCCCCATGTCACATTGTTTTGATCACTGGAAAGCTTTTCAAAATCGTAAAGCCTTATACCCATATGAAGCAGTATTAGTAGAGAGAGTGACCAGCTGAGGGCCAATGGCATTTCCTCAGCTCTTATCCTCTCCCTACTCTGTGTGAGTTAGAAGATGGAACTCCTCATCTGTGAAGAGGGAAAGCCAATACTCCAGGGCCAACGGTTTACTGAGGGCATAATGGACTTGGTCTCTTCCTTCTGCTGAGTTCGAGGACAGGGCTTGTTCAAAACTGGTTCATCTCTGCTTTCTCTGACTTCAAGGACCTCATCCTAACACTTTGCTACTGGCAACTCAAGCATTATATATTCTGTTATTTTAAAATATTATATTATTTTCTTGCTTGTTTTAGACAGTAACATTGTTTCCTTTTGCTACTCAGTCTGGGCATGGCTCATGATTGCCCATTATAGCTTCAGCTGACATAGATCCTGTATTTCAGCAAGTAGTTCTCAAAGTGTGGCCCCTGACCTGCAATATCAGATCCTCTGGGAAATGCAATGTTAGAAATGCAAATTTTTAGGTCCTACCCCAGACTGAATGAATCCAACCTCTAGAATAAGGCCAAGTAAATCAGTGTTTTAACTAAAAAAAAAAAAAAATGACACATGCTCAAGTTTGGGAACCACAAACTTTGAGTTTACAAAGAGTTTTTCATTCATTTAGTAGCAGCATTCTCACGCACATTGTCTCTGATAGATGGCACGATGACCCACTTCCACTTGGTTATTCTTTTCCCTCTGCCTTTTAGGGCTTGCCATAGGACGCCCTGCTGAAGTTGGCACGCTCATGGGAGCTATCCTTAAATGCCACTCAGAACACTCTCACAGCCTACAGCCTGCAGAAGAAGAGTGTCACCTGGTCCAGTTGCTGAGTGACCGCTGATCAACAGCTGACTTCACCTTGCATCCTGACTCCTGGGAGCTCTTCCTCTCCCATCTCTCTTCCCCTCTTTCTCTATAGGCGCAGCCATCAGGATCAGCTGAACCACTGGGGATGGCTGTCTTTGGAGAGGAGCTATGTGGCCTTGAGAAGAGTTGGGTAGATGGACGGCCTCTCCTTGGAAATCCGCTCTCTGAAAGGACAAAGCCTAGGAGACTGCTCCTCAGGGTGCAGAGCACAGGCTTGCCTGTTTATTAGGGTGTGGACTTGGAGTCAGGACAGGAGTTTTATGAACAGGAGAAGGAATTTTGTTGAGTTTGTGGCCTTGTGCTGATTCTTTTTGGGATGTTGAGTAGCACGAATAGAGAAATCTTTGATGAGAAGAAAAAAACAGTTTTAGTGAAGTAAATAAATGTAGCTTCATTTTCATTTGTAAATATATTTCTTCTATTTGTTGTTACTCCACTTGTAAGATGCACACACATAACCACAGATTCAGAGATTTTTGTCTATTCATTGATGGCGATCTGTGTTACTTTCTGTCAAGGAGGCATAGTAACTTGGTGTCAGTATGGTGGGGCTCTGGCTGCCACAGACAGTATAGGTAGTGGCCTTCTGTTAGCTGAAAATTAATTACTAAATTGGCAGCATGTGCCCCTCATTCTGTGATATACACACACACACACACACACACAGAGACACACACACAGTACCCCTTATGTTTGCTTAACTTCCAAGAGTCTTTTGGACATATAAAATTTGCCTCAGTCAAAAGTTTAAAATATGCATTGGTTCTGTGCCTATTAAAAGCAAAGTTTAAAATAAAGCCCGAAATAATGGATGAAATCCATTCAGGCAGCTTGGTGGTTTAAAGCAAGACTGAACTTTCTACTTTTTGAAAAGTGTGTTTCCAGGAATAAAGCTGAGTGGGCAAAGCAAGACCTAATTTTCCCCACTGAATAGGAAATAAAATGACACATATTGAATGCTGTCTCAAAGGTGCTTATACTGGTTGGGAAAAGATGGCCTTGAGACCCAGACTATTCATGTTAAGATTGAAGATGAGGTGAAAATGCGAATTAAATAATGCCATGGCAAAGTTGGCTGAAAATGAGTAAGCAGGACTTTGTGAACGCTTCATATTCCTAATAAAGCATCTCTTCCTTACTCAAACATCTTTTCCTCCCTCTTTTGACCTTCAGCAGGCTATAAAGAACAATGCCCTTCATTTGTGATTATCTAATCTTTAGAAACATGTCCTGCCCTCATATATTGCTGGTGGGAATGTAAAATGATGCAGCTGCTGGGGAAAGCAGTTTGGTGGGTTCTCAAAAAGGGAAACACAAAGTTATATGTGTTTATGACCCAGAATGTTCCACTCCTAGGTATATACTCGGGATAACTGAGACATATGTTCATACAAAAACTTGTGCACAAACATTTGTAGCAACATTATTTATAACAGGCAAAAAGTGGATACAGTCCAAATCTCTGTCACCTGAGGAATGGATAAATAAAATGTGATAGAGCTGTACCGTGAAATACTATTCAGTCATAAAAAGAATAAAGTACCAATAGTAAGAGTTGAAGAAGGAAGAAAGAAACATGAAAAGCAGCTTCACGGTAAAAGACAGGTTTATTTTGGGAAATAAACCTGAGAGGGGCTTCTGGCTGAGTTAGGTCAGGGGCACTCTCTCTTACAGACTGAGAGTATTTAAGGGTTTAGGGCAGGAGAGCTTATTACAAGCTCAGAATATTTCTGTGTTTCTTCGTCTTGCTTATTTGGGAGGGAGATTTTGTGTTTGTTTCCATACTTTTTTTTTTTTGCAGCTGCAGGCATACCCAAGTCTGCTTTTAGCTTCCCTATCTTAGTGCACCTAAAGGGAAAGGGATGTGCTTATTAGGGCCCACTGTTTTACTGGGGCCCATTGTATGAGTGTGAAGTTTGGCAGTTACCCAAGAGACTTTGCCCCTACCTTCTGCCCCTGACCTGTCTTATCTGTGTTTTACTGTCTGCTCTTTCTGGCTGCTTGTTGTTAGAAGAGAAGTGATTTCCTTGAAATGACTGAGATTAGAAAGGGAGCCAGAACTTGAAATGGCAATGTTTGTCCAAGATGATGGTGCTCCTGCTCTGTCACTGATACCTGCTACTACTTGGATGAACCTTGAAAACGTTGTGCTAAGTGAAAGAAGCCAGAATCAATGGGCCACATTTTGTTCGATTCCATGTATATGAAATGTGCAGAATAGGCAAATTATAGCCCCCCAAAATTCATATGTTGACATCCCAACCCTTAGTACCTCAGAATGTGACTGTCTTTGAATATGGGGCCTTTAAGGAGGTAATTAAGGCAAAAAAGAGGTCCTCTGGGTGGGCCCTCACCCAGTAAGACTGGTGTCCTTCTAAGAAGAGAGAGATTAGGACACAGTTACACACAGAGGAAAGGCCATGTGAAGACAGAGGGAGAAGACAGCCTTTTGCAGGTCAAGGTGATCAGGATAAACAGCCCATAATAGGTCTGGTAAGGTCTGAACAGGGGTCAGATTGTATAGTGTGTTATCAGCTAGGGTAAGGAGTTTTACTGTAATTCAGAGCCACTGGAAGGTCTTAAGCAGGGTTCTACAGATCTGATTAATATCTGGGAGTTAGGGTTTCCCTGGAGATTCTAACAAGGACTAAAGCATCCCTGACCTTAGACCCAGAGGTAATCTCTATCAACCTGGGTCCTGAATTAAACTTTCTTCATCCTGTTGATTGTCCTTGGTTTTCAGCAGAGTTTGCACAAAGAGAAATCAACACACCCAGGATAGCATGCCTCAGTACTCCAAACAGATTCTGAGAAGCATAAGGGTCAACCATAAATGTACATTTTTGCAAACCCTGTAATCTATTTATGCTACAAAAAAATCTCCTAAACAGAGGAACTGAATCAACTGCAAATAGCTATTGTTGATTTTCTACGAGGACATTGGCAATCATGATGGCTCTGTGAGCCACAGGATTGTTGTAAAGAGAGATTTCTGGATGGTGATTTTCTGTACTAATCAGTGGATTTTTGTTTTCTCATCAGGGCCAAGATATCCAACCATAAACAAAGGAGAAATTTTGACTTGAGAAATATCTACTTTGTTAATAAGCAAAACTGAAAATGGAATAAAGTAATTTTGTTTTGTAAACACAGGCTTGCTGTTCATTGAGTGCAAAGTATAACTCTTGCAAAATGTTAGGGGTACTTGGACCCCATGGTGCTAGAGTTTAAAATGGTTTTGGAGGAATTGAAACATCAGTTCTGTTTATTGCACAAATGTAGCAAACATGAAAGCCAAATCGTACAAATTATTTTAAACAACTGAATGCCACTTACCAGCTGTGAGCTACCTGCTTCAACAAAACTCTTTCAAGCCTAAATAAAGGGAAAAAATTTCTCTCTTCTCTCCATGTATTTAAAGATAGCATCCGAATTAACATCTGAGTCATAAATAGTCCATGAAACAGATGACTCCTCATCCTATGACTAGATGTTTTTTTTTTTTACCAGATAAAATTCTAAGTGAATCTCTTTTCTCTTTTGCACTTTTAAAAGCTATTTCCCTTCTCTGGTTTGGTCTTCTGGTTAATGTGCTGAGGCAGGCTCTTGGCAGCCAGATGGAGTATCATCTATATTTAGAGCTTCCATTAGCTTTTGTGTGTGAATCTGCTGCCATTTCCTAATTTCAACACAAATATTCTACGAGAGTGGATTGCCATTTATGTTATTGCTGTATAATAAAGTCATCATGCTAATATGCCTTATTTTTCCTGGTGATCCTTTTTGCTAATCAAGCACATTCCCTTTTTATTGGTCACATACTGATACATGAGAAGTTGTTACCTTGATAACATTTACCAGCATTCAGGTTGGTCAGTCTTGGTTCTGGCTTTTCTCGCTGTCCCTTCCAGGCTGGTTTGGATACCATTTAATGTTTTCTTTTTGGTTCATGGGAGTTCAGCAACCCAGTAACCTTGAGAAAAGAGAAATGAGAAATGGAACCAGTTCATCTTAGGCTAAAAGATTCATTTTGACAGAGTAATTTTTTTTCCTTAGGATAAGAAATTACTGTGTCATTCCAATTGCATAGATAACTACTGTGCCAAAGTGCTGCAGAGAGTTTCATGATGAACTTTTCTAAGAAAATTAATTGGATGTTAATGAAAGTTAGGGGGTGGTAGAATTCAAGGGAGAAGTACTCTGTTTTTTATCACCACTTCCCAAAATTATGTAGTCAAAGGCTCTTATGATGATTATAAAAATAGCAACCCCCACTTGCTTGTGCTAGACAGAATATAAAGCAGTTTCACAACATTTCTGCTTTGAATTAGAGTAATCCTCTTGGTATCTGAAGACCTCCTCTGAGCCCAGCGTATGCTGGCTTTGCCACCAGAATCTTAGGAGTGAGGCCTTTGGCTAGGTTTGGGGGTTCTAATAAATTTAGCATATGGGCCAGTTGCGGTGGCTCACACCTATAATCCCAGCACTTTAGGAGGCCAAGGTGGGCAGATTACTTGAGGTCAGGAGTTCGAGACCAGCCTGGGCAACATGGTGAAACCCCATTTCCACTAAAAATACAAAAATTAGCCGGGCGTGGTGGTGCATGCCTGTAATCCCAGTTACTCAGGAGGCTGAGTCAGGAGAATCGCTTGAACCTGGGAGGCTTGCAGTGAGCTGAGATTGTGCTACTGCACTCCAGCCTGGGTGACAGAGCAAGACTCTGTCTCAAAAAATAAAAATAAAAAATAATAATAAATTTAAAAAAGCATAGCATATGGAACACTCTTCTAAAATCAGTGTCTGTAACAGAAAAAAAGAAAGAAAGAAAAATTTGAAGTTGCAAGCACTCAGACGGGTTTGTGGACACTGGAAAGGAGATGAGGAACCTACTCATCACCTTATTTCCAGGAGAAGGTGGGTGGCAGATTCATGCTTGTTCTCAATCATAGTGGTTGTTTGGACTCAGTAGGAGTATTTACTGTGAAGTCTGTCATATGAAGGAAAAACTCAGGGGTGCAACACAGTGGCCAGAAAAAATGGATGGTGTCATTTCCAGTCACCAAGGTGGGACACCTCATGCTTGTGGGTCAGCACAGATCAGACACGGGTGTCCAGAGTTAGCTCTTTTACACATGTGCCGAGACAGGCTTCTTGTTCCTGTCACACGACTCCCAACTGGAGAGGATGATGAGGGGAGAGCCCAAGCTACACCAGTAACTCTTGGTGCCAGTTCCTGCTGTTTCATCTTTGTCTCCCCATCACAGCTGTATCGAGACCACTGCTGGCTGCCTTCTTGCTTCTCTAACTGCTTTTCTCTGGTTTCCTCTTTGGCTTCTCTTTCTGAAATTGTCACTTAAATGTTGACATAACCAGCCTGTGCCCTTTGGTACTTATCTATTCTCACTTTACCTACACTCCCTGGACAATCGCCTCCATTCCCATGGCTCCAATTACCATCTCTACTGCTGGCAGCTCTCAAGTGAAATCTACATCTCCAGCCCAGAACTTGTTCTGTGGTTCCCTAGATGTCTCAAACTCAGTGTGTTCGAACCTAACTCATGATGCTCCCACCCCCACAAACTATGCCTGCTTCTGAGATCTTGTCTATGTAATAGTGGCCAAGATTTACTGTGCTTGTGATATTCCAGGCTCCGTTCCAAGCATTTGACATACTTTACCTCATTTAACCTTTTCCAGAGCCCTGTACGAAGATGCAATTATTATCCCTTTCTTACACTCTGAGGCACCCAGTGAATCGGTGCCTTGCCCCAGGTTCAACAGCTAGCTGTGGACACAGTCAGACTTTGAACGCAGACTGTTGAAACCGTAGCCCATGCTTCTAATCACTCGGCTGGACTGCTTGCTGTTGTACATTTACCCAAGTCAGAAACTGGAGCATCATTTTTGATGTCATCTTCTCCCCTGGCTCCCACATCCCATCCAATGCTAATCCAGTTCCTTTTACCTCCTGAATAACTGAGCCTTTCTTTCTTTCTTTTTTTTTTTGCTCCCAGATCGCTACTCTAGTCCAGGCTATTATCTCTTGCCTGGGCACTCACAATGGCTTCCTAACAGCTCTTCCTGCTGTTCTCTCTTCTTTCCTTTCCACCTCATCTGTTTTCCATACTGCAGCCAAAGAAATCTCTCTAAAACATAAATTCAAATGTGTCACTTCAGTAAAATGCTGCAATGGTTCCCCATTGTCCTCAGGGCAAAGTCTGGACTCCAATATGCCTGAAAAGGTATGCTCTGGGCTCTTTTCTCTCCAGCCTCATCCTTCTCCCTGACTTCATCCTCTCCTCTTGCCCTGTCAGCATGCCCCAGTCTTCCTGCGCTTCTTTCCTTTCCTGGCTCCTGGAAGACACCCTTCTCTCTCTCACCTCTTGGCCACTTAGTTGTCTGATCCCTTTGCCTATGATACAGTTTGGATGCTTGTCTCCTTCAAATCACATGTTGAAGTTTGATCCCCAGTGTTGAAGGTGGAGCCTCGTGGTGGGTGTCTGGTCATGAGGGCAGATGGCTCATGAATGGCATGGTGCTGTTCTTGTGGTAATCAGTGAGTTCTTACTCTTAGATCCTACAAGATCTGGCTGTTAAAAAAAGTCTGGCTCCTCCTTCTCCTCTGCTTGCTCCCTTCCTCTCTCACCATGTGATCTCTGCACACACCAGCTCCCCTTCACATTCCACCATGAGTGGAAGCAGCCTGAAGACCTCACCAGAAACAGATGCTGGCGTCATGCTTCTTGTACAGCCTGCAGAACCATGAGCCAAAGACATCTCTTTTCTTTGTAAATCACCCAGCCTCAGGTCTTTCTTTATAGCAACACAAAGGGACTAAGACAGCCCGAATGTCCTTCCATCTTCTCTGCACCTGCTTGACTCCTATTCATTCTCAAAGGCTTTGGGGATCTCCTCTCCGGGGTCTAGAAAGGGACTTTGGTGCCTTGGCTGTGTGTTCCAGTATAGCTGCCACTCTGTGTGCCATGGTTTGTCCCAAGCACTTTAAATATATTAACTCATTTAATTTTGCAAAAACCATATGAGGTAGACACAATTATTATTTCCACTTAGCAGATAAGACTGTTGAAGCACAGTGCATCTGCCACTCTAGTAGTTCACCAGAGGAAGTTTGACACAGGGCTCTGACTACAAGGCTGTTGCAAGAACACAAAAAACAAATGGAGGTTGCAAGACAATCCAAAGATGAGAAACAGTAGGAAGCTGCTGCTCCAGGTTGGAGGGACAGAAGGAAGTGGGGATGTCACCAGAGGTGAGGCACTGGGACTGCCCAGCGGGAACTGGAGCTCTAGAGGAGGCGCAACCACTATCAGAGCAGCCACCCCAAACTGAGAGGGGCTTAAGTACCCTGACGTTCCTTCCTCCTACTGCTAAGCTCCACCACTGCTTCCCATTGGCTAAGTTAACCAGCCACTCATTGGCAGGAGCCTGGGAAAATGTAGTCTGCAGAGGTCGCGGTAAAGATGGGGAACAAACTGAGAGAAACAGGTAGAAGATAGGCTCAGAGAAGTTCATTACTTTTTCCAAGCTCTGACAACTTCTAAGTTGCAAGGTCTAAGTAGTTTGGCCCCAGAGTGTGTCCCCTTACACCGCCGTTCTGAGAACCTGGGGCCAGGCACTGAGTCACTGAGTCTCAGATGTGTAAAATGGAAATAATAGTGATATCCTGTATATGGGGCTATGATAAAGGGAAAATAAGTTGACACACTTCAAATATTTTGAATACTTCCTAGAATATCATAAGCACAGTAAATTTTGGTCATTCTTGCAGAGATAAGGATCCCAAGGGAAGGCAGTGGTCTGGGCGTGGGAACTCTGCCCAGCACTGTTCTAGACTCTTTCTCTAGAAGGTAGTTGCTATCTCCATTTTACAGATAATAAAACCGAAGCCTCAAGAGTTTGACTTACATAGCAAAAGTGGGAGTAGGACTCAAGAATTTGATTCCAGAGTCAACGTGTATATGCCATATTAAAATTCCTGTGTGATGGACTCCCTTCCAGCTAAGCTACAGTTTCTATGGGGACACACCTGTGCCTTTTTTGCCTTTGATTCCCTAGCACAGGCTCAGCACCTGGTGCCTTGGAAGGCACTCAGTATATGTTTGCTTCGTGAATTATTAAATGGCCTGGTGGTTTGCTGGTGCCGTGGAAGTGGAAGTTGTACAGACGTGTTTCTGGACTTCTTGGTGAGCAGTGAGGTGCTGGAGGCCCAGCCTCTCTTCAGAAACTCATTCCAGGCCATCTCCATAGTGCATGCCCGAGTGTTCCAGCTCTGCCATTTCATCCATCTCTGTGATGGCTTCCCCTGGACCTCCGCTTTGTGGAGGCCATCTATTTTGTACGTCCTCGAGTGCTCAGTGGTGACCAAGGCAAGAGGATAAGAGTCAGAGTGAGGAAAATTGCATCGGGGATTGGAAGAGAAAATGAAATGGAGTAAAAGGTCACCATTACACCATTAAGGAGTTCTCAAGAGTGCTTCATAATCATAATATAATCTGCAAATGCACATCTGGAGGTAATTATATCTACCTAGGACAAATTACTTATACTTTTATCTTAGCAATTGACCTAGTATATGAAGTGGAAGCAATTCACTCTTCTCTGCCTGTTTCCCCACTTAAACAAGAGGGAAAAGATCATTTTCACTGAGTGTTGGAAAAGTACCTTTTCATCCTTAGAGAAAGTCTATAAAAACTGAGTTACTGAATCTGGCTTTGGCATGAGGACATGGGCTAAAACTGAGCTTTTGATCTGTTGCAACTGGTATGTTGTTGGGGATGCTGCCATTTCTTGAAGTTTCTCTCATCTTTCCAGCAGAAAGAGCTGGGCATCTTGTAAGAAGCTGATGTATATTTATTAACAGATAATATGAGTTATGTATCTAATAATGGTTTCTTCTTCCCTTTGGCTGCTTAAAAAGGGCAGAGCCAAATAGGCCAGCACTGGAAGAATGTGGGATTTCACAGAACGCCTTTTATGGCCTAACCACAGCCCTGCTACTCATTTTTCTATCCTATCTTTTTCCCTCATCACTTTTATTTAACTGATTGTATCTTGCTGAATTGTGTGCATCTTGGTAAGCCATCCTCAAGCCTTCCCAGGACAACACAAATAGGTAAATAAATAGTTATTGACTCAAATGTTTTTAATCATAAACTTGATTCCTGGTTTTGCTTTAGTGAAGCACTTTGAGTTACTGGCACTCAAGTAACTCAAAGTATCAATGTTCCATCACTTTCTAGAATTAACCAATCCAGCAGAGATCAATTTATGACAGAAAGCTATAGTATATTAAACTCCAGAGTTCCCAGCTGGAAGAAATTGTAATTTTAGAATTGGTTGATCAAGAAATAGATGTTGACAATTGACTCAATTTTGGTAATGTTTTAAATGAATCTGTATTTTATTAATACATATACAAATGATAAATTCATAATTTGTTTATTGTATTTTATTAGTCACAATCAATCTACATACACTTGAAAATGGTGGCATATACATATGGTGAAAATAGCATTTTCACTGGATCTCAAATTATGTTGGTGAGCTTATAAACTAGAAGATCCCTTGCAAGAAGGCCATAGATTCCCCAGAGGCGAAGCTTTGCAGGCTGGAAATCTTGGCATTCTTCCTTTACTCATTTGTTAAAGCATATTGGGTTAGGTGCTGGTGTCCCTAGGCAGGCTTTTGTACTACAGTGCTTCACGTTCTTGAAAACTGGAAAACAAATGGTTCAAACTCAACCTTTAGTAATAAAACTTCCCTTCTGACTTTCTAGACATGTGTCAAAATTACTTCATTAAATTTCAACAGTGTTTAAGCATGCGTTTGTACTGTGATTTTCACTTATTAAGCGCTCTGATGTAATATCTTATTATTATCAATTATATGTAATTTATCAATTATATATTCCTATTAAAGAACAGGTCTAACAAGAGAGGAATTTGATTTTGTGAAAAAGAAATTGTAGGGAAGAAAATCACTGGACTGAGGTCATGCTGCAAGTTAGAGGCCAATCCTAGACAAGAACTTTGTTTTCTAATTTTTTAAAGAGATGGGGTCTTGCTACTTTGCCCAGGTTGGCCTCACACTCCTGGGCTCCAGTGATCCTCCTGCTTCAGCCTGCTCAATAGCTGGACTACAGGCACAAGCCACCACACCCAGCTACAGCTTTTTCTTTCCTTTCTTCTTTTCTTTTTCCTCCTTCTCCTTCCTTCCTTCCTCTTTCT